AGGTGTTTGATCTTGGGTTGGCAACACTGTTTTGTCCAACATAGTTTGCATTCCCCAAACTGCTTTGCTGTGAGGGGTTCTCAATTCTTGCATAGAAACGATGCTGGGCCAAGATGATTTTGTCCCTGAGTCTCCCCTTGTGTCTCCCTTCGTTTCCCCTTGTCGCCGAGAAGTATTGTCCTCTTCATGCTCCAGAAGTGGTGCCGCCGAAGAGGAAGTCCAAACTAGAGTGGCCAAAAGAATGCGTAGCCCTCATGAGAGGGAGAGGCCTCGAGGATTGGAGGCACCCACACTGCCGTGTGGGCGCCTAGTGAAGTTGCGACCATGGAGAGAGATCGGCGGATCGGATGGTCGAGGTCCGATCCCCTTGTGGCCTAGTCAAGCATCATGTTTTGCTTTCTTGGCCATCATGGCCTCCAGCGTGTCGAATCTGCCGTTCATCTCCTTGGCAAAGTCGCTCTTGACCTCATGAACTGCAGTCTGAACCAGCTGCTGAAATTTGGCCTGTCCTTCTTGTCCCAATCTCTGAATCTCCTGCTTCTGGTGTAGCAACAGCATCCCAGGAAGTGCCGAGCAGGTCTCGGTATGCTTGTATCTTGAGGACAGTTGTTGTCACTATCGCGGGTTGTGGCATGCTGGGAGAGGCCTTCCTCTTGACTGGAATGTCCCCCGACCTCCAAAGAAGACGACTGGTTCCTCAGTGGCCTTGTATTTGGCAGGGATCATGCACTTCTGAATCTTGGCCGCAATGACAATGTCCTCCTCTGGCAAATCGATGAGAGCTAAGGCCAGTGCATCCGAGGTGAGACTGCTGGAAGGGAAGAATGGAGCAGCCCCCTCTGCATTGCAAAGTGCAATCCCGCCTTGATCTGCAGCAACGTCTTGGAAATCTATGGCTCCCACTCGATTCCCATCCTCATCGACAAAGGTGTCAGGCTCTTCCAGCCTGTGGGTCAACCTTGATGGGTTTCGTGGCTAGCTTCTTCTCCCTGGTACCTCTCTCCTTTTTGCTGGAAGCGGAGGCGCCAAATGTAGTCTTCTCCCTATCTTGCAAATGCTGAGATAGTTCCAGAGGCGTGACCAATCTCAGGCGGAACGAAGGCTTGCTGGCTTCTGCTTTAATTGCAGCCCATGGAGTCTTGGAGCGAAGTGCGGACTGGACCAATGATGTCCCCAATTTATCAAGCACCATAGTGGCCCTGTCCCTTGAAAGGTCCGCTGGATGCCCGTCCAATGAGTCCAAAACCAATAAAATCAGCCTTCCGATCATGTAGAAGAAGATGCTCATGGATCCTGGTGATATTGTCCTCAGTGAATCCTCCGGGAAAGCCCATGCATGAAGAAGAGCAATAGTACCACAAGTGTACTCAGCCTGCTGAGTGACTGGGGCAAAACTTGAAATTTGTGTACCCATCGTGGCGGCGAGCTGCTGAGAAAGCCAATCAGCTTCATCAATGAGCCGGTCACGAAGTCCATCAAAATAAGTCCAAGAGATGCTGCCATTCAGGATGACCCCATGAAGAAGTGCCCAGTGCTCGTCCGCAGGGAAGATACAAAGTAGTTGTGGTGGGCCCTGGATGGCCCCAGCCCATGGTACAGGAGGCTGAGAGGAGCGCAAAAGAGCATTTGCTTGCTTGGGAGAGAATGTTCAGACCGGTCCTGCCGCTGTGAGTCCACGCTGCCTAATGAGGCTCTGAAGTGTGGTCCAAAGAATGGGATCACCAAGTCCAAGCCGTGTGCCATCTGAGTCGTGAGTAGGTGGTCCTCGGCCAGTGGAAGCCCTGTTGCATAGGATCTCAAGGCATGTCCCATTGGACCAAAGCTGGAAGTGAAGGGGCGGATTGTCGAAGGCAGGAAATCCATCATGGAGTTGCCGGAGCAACTCTCGCTTGTATTTGTCCAGCGTGTCCAGTGCCGTGAGGACCTCTTCTGAACCAGTGGCCATCTGGTAGTTCTCAACCAAGGTGCCATAGATCCAAACCATCTGGATCGGTGATGCAATGAGCCCCAAGAGACAGTTGCTTTCCCGAGGTCCCAGCGGAAGCATAACGGAATCGGGGACACCAAGCATTGCGGCAAGCTCCCTTGGGTGAAGGAATCTCGGGTTGCCGTGAACTTGAGATGGAACCCAACATCCACGAAGGCCTTGATCCAGAAAAGTCTCAATTCTGAACCCAGCCGAGCGGCATTTGCAAGGACAAGGTCGAGTGGCATTGGAGTACGAGTGCAAAAATGTGGGTGCGATGCTGTCCAACGTGAGGCAGCGATCCTCTTTGCCCAGCCGTGGATCCATGTAGAGAGCGAGCTCGTCGATGTCCAATTGGAGCTCGGATTCATCAGGCTCGCTCCAAGTCCCCCATTGCGGCAGAACCTGCCCGATCTTGGGGGTGGCGGAAAGACATGGCCAAGGATGAAGTCCATGATGATTCCATCGAGGCGGGATCAACAAAATCCACCACCTGAGGCGTTTGCACGGCCACTGTGTGCCTAAGTCGAAAGTGAGCTCAAGGATTTCGAAGCCCATCGCCTTAGCAAAAGTGGAGGTGGCCTGGCGAGTGTCATGATTTGGCTGAGCGGAGGCGACGCACTCCAAAATCACGGCTTGAGGCAAAATACCCTGAGGCCCGAAAGCAAAACGAATGCCCTGCTGTCATTCCAACCTTGCATCCTGCCCTGAGAGCTGTAGGGCTGACATGGAAATTACCCTAGAGTGCCAGTAAATCCATGTTCGGGGCAAGCGGCGTGGACGGTTCTTGAGGCTTGTGGGTGATTCAAGTCCAATGCCAAAACCTGCCCATGTGAGTTGGCCTTCAAATGACGAACCGAGAGCGGCGAAAAGTCCACCGAAACAACAGGGACAGCGCCAAGGAAAGAGGCACCAATGGACATGCCGCCAAAACCAGCGCAGAGCTCAAGCAGGAAAGGGGCGAAAGGTTGTTTGGCATCAGGTGCACGACGCCACCAACAGTCGGCCGATGGGACAAGAACCAGGCAAGGATCGGATTCGAAGACCTCCAATCCGTAAAGCGAGACACGACCCAAGGGAAGCACCAAGCCGAGCAGAGAGCACTCAACACCGAAAGGGAGCAAGCGAAGCCCACAGCCGCCAGCAGCCGAATCCAGGACATCAGCATCAAACCTGTCCCCAACTGTCCTGGGGAGGTGACCAAAGATGCTCTCCTCCATGGCAAGTGACCCTGTCCCGAGCTTTCGGCCGACGCAGGCTACCCCTGGCAGGTACTCGGGCAAAAACGCCTAACGAGCCCACCTTTATCTACCTTGTTACAGGCGGAGCCTCAGTGATGATAGTGGGTAATGAGTACCCCATGAGGCAGTCCAATCGCTCACACGCCTTGCCGCGGCCATCGTCGGCCCCAGCCATTCCAGGGCTCACCAACGCAGCCAAGTTGCGTGGTGTGTGTTCCATGATGTGCAGAGGTGAAGAGGCGGAGTCCTCCGCGAATCGGTGGAATCAGACCGCGCGCTTTCCACCACAGAATAGATTTATGTCTTGCGCGAATAAGACAGAAACTATATACTGGAAACAGCCCGGTCTTCCTCATCTTCCGCTGACTGCCTTGACACGTCCAGCGAGCTAGTGTGCTTTGAATGCTCGCGTCGCGTCGCGCAGACAAGACTGTGGACTTCCCGACATTGGCGCTGGACGCACCTATAGAAGAAACGCTCCAGCCACCAGATCCCACAGGGCAGGCGCTCGCAATTTGAAATTTTACTAGTACACTTGTGGGTTGGAGACGGAGGACTGTTCAGGATTCAGAAAAGAACCAAGAACAGGGCGAATCAGTTAAAGCGAAGCAAAACCACAAAGAACAAGCAAGCAACCACAAACAAGAAGACTTTCATTCAAGTCTTTTCCTTCGAAGAAGCGACCATGTGTGACGAAGCCGGCTTTGAAGAAGCCGGCTGGTGCAACTGCGTGGGCATGTCGAGTGACTGTGCCCCTGGCTGGGCTGGGCCCGACCAAGATGGACTCAAGGTACGCGTCCGTGCTTGGGTGCATGGGGTGTCAGAGAAGAAGATTGAGATTTCATTTTGGAACATGAGAGCTGGATCAGATGAGGTGTCCTTTCCAGTGGATGTAGTGCTGAAGGCTCCGCCCCCCCACAGCGTAGGATGCGGTGAGTGTAAGGTTCAGATATTCTTTTGTTAGTGCTTGGGTGTAGCGCCGATAGCCCCACCCTCAACCCGCCAGCGTGCAGGTGATTGTAAAATATTGAGTTTGTTAGTGCGTGAGTCTAGTGCTGAAGGTGTTAAATTTGTTCTTTCTTGATGCTTGAGTGTAGAGCTGAAGGCCCCGCCCCCCAGTCGCCAGAATGCAGATGAGTGATTGTTTGTGCTCACGCCCCCCCTAACGACCCCGGAGAATTTCCATGCTTTTACCATTCGCCAAGTTGATGCTACGTTGGGTATGGGGTGGGGTGGGGATGGGGTGCCTTGTGCAGTGCGAACAGCTACGGTGCTGTTTTGTTTGCCTTTGCCTTGCATTGTGTGGGGTTCACCTTCGAGGGTGCGAGGCAATACAACCGTGGGCGGAAGACTGCAAACGAGGAACGGGGTGGACAAACAACCCATGCGAAGGCAACACGCCCAATTCCCTGCAACTCTTTCCGCCGGCTCAGCAGTCAAGCCCCGCGCGAGCCTGCAAAAGACATGTGTCGGATAACCGTTGCGATTCATACGATAATTCGCGCCTGGACCCAACCAGAAATGACGGGCGTTGATACGGAGTGACTTAAGTCTACAATGTCGAAGCAGTGGCGCAACCTTGCCCGTGCTGGTGCTGGTGCTTTTGTTTGGGCGTGCTGATGCAGGTGCAGGTGCTGGATTCGGCACTATGAACTTTTTCCCTATACACCCGCTATCTGGGGCTATGCCGGTGTAATTTTGTTTTGTTGGTTCCTAGTCTTAGATGTGAACGAGCCGGGACGTGATAGATTCAGATGAATGAGGGGCCTTTTTGCGTGCTGTTTTGTTCGCAGGACGAAAGAACTTGCAGAGAATTTGATTTTCCTGTAATTTTGAGTGGCCACGCCCTTCACTCAGTTTGCTGGGTTTCGGGTTTGCACTTTATTTTTTGCATTTGAGAGCTTAGGATCATCATGTTGTTGACCGAATGGTCGGCGCCTTGAGCCTGTCAGAGAATTGTCAGGGTGAGCATAAGGTCTGAAGCGTTGGCCCCAGTGAAGATATAGTGAAGCCGAAGGAGAGGTGGAGAACAAACCAGACGCCCGACCACAAGCACACAACCTGATAGACACAGCAGCAGCAATGCATCTTTGGCGTTAAAACCTTCAAAAGTGTAAATTTGGCAAACACGGCTTTCACGCTTATATTTTGTTGAAAAGACACCAAACCTTGACCCAAAGGGCGATACTTTTAAGTCTGACTTAAGGTAATTGAGCAAGATAAAAAACACAGCAAGGGCAAAATACATATCAAACTCTTCAAGCCGAGCAGAAACTCGTGTTTTGCCCAAATATCTTTCACACATTGGTGTGGCCAAGCGGCGTGCTGCTTTTTGCACAGGTGGATGGGACTAGGTTGTTGAAGCCGGGGCAGGATGGCATCAAGGCAGTTATCCTTGTACAGCGCCCAGCTTCAGGTTTCAACTTGGATTGCTTTTGCGGGTGGTGTAACCTGAGGACCTTTTTTGGCCAAATGCATCTTCAAGCTCAGATCCGGTAATTGAGGTGCATTGTTAAAATTGTGAGCGTACGCCTTCATGTTTGCGGATTGGCTGTGGTCAGATACAATGTGTGTCTGTCCCAGTGCGGTCGCAATGGACAGTGGTGTAAGCAAGTCTATAAAGCCTGCCCGCCCCCTACATTGCTCAACTCTGCGCAGTATGAGATTGTCACTGTTGCTGATTGGCCACCTAATGAATCCTTGTTGAAGGTTGCGGCGCGAGGCCTCAGTGGGCATCAGGTTTTCATGACTTTATGTTTGCATAATGCATTGCGGGGGATTGCAGGGAATTGGGCAAGGGAAGTTGCAGGAACTGATTTACTATAACAAGTGCATCGCTACTAGTAGCTTCTTGCTACTAGTAGTAATGCCCTTGTTACTAGTAGCGATGCACTTGTTACTAAGGAGGAATCCTATAAAGTATTGGACCCTTTGCGAAGGACGGGGTCATGAGAACACTGTCGACGGTGAACTATTGCATGACCAATGTGATGCAGGACAGAGCTCGCCCAGGTACCATCCGCCTATCGCCCATTGACTTCTGTCCGGGTGGCAGGAGGAATCGGGACGTGGGACACACTAATTTTGTTGCAGCTGACTGAAGGCATTCATTCCCCCTTCCTACTGCAACTGCTCACTTACTGTAGCTGTGCTGTAAACGTTTTGCCGACTGCTACATTCTCGCATGTTGCTCCTATTCCCTATGGCACTTTGTTCTATGTGTCTTAGGATGTGGGAGGTCTGTTTGACATGTCTTGAGGTTTTGCAGCTCGGGCTTGGCCACCTGTGTAACAGCCATCTAGTCTTGTAAGGTCCAAGCTCGTGGCCAACGAGTCTCGATGGGCACCTGAGCTGAACCGGAGAATGCTAGATGTGGCATAACTTAGCGCAATGTATGTGATGTATCATAGTGCATGTCATTCAGTGTGCATAATTGCTCTTTTTCAACTTGCGCCATGTATACAAGCATGGATGTCGTTTGTGTTGGTTTGGGGCAGATGGTGGAGCGGCGAAGGTACGTATTTGCTCTCAAGAATACGGGATGCAATGAACATGGATATGCCCCTGGGCGCCTTGGCTTTGTCTTGCACTTGCCTTGTATTTGCTTTGGATTCGTTGGCTTTGTATTCATCGGATGATTTCCTTGGACGAGCTAAATTTGAGGCGAGAGGTATGTCGACTGTGCCTTGCTAAAGGCGCGGTGTGAGGCAGCAAATGTTGCTGGTGAACCGGGGCCAAAGAGACTGCGCGCTTGGATAGGTGTTGTCCTTGGTAACAGACCGCAGTGCGACCGCAGGGAGGGAACATCCGCGGGGGCCGAGAGTACAAAGACGATGAGCACATCAACTTGGAGGCAGGAGCTTGACAGTACAAGCTTGCTGCATTGCTGCAGCTATGGTCGAGTCGAAACATTTTCAAGCTTGGTTGTGGCTTGACCTAGATTGGCCGTGTCCAGCTTCTCCAAGTGTTTGAATGCGTTGCATTTGCGCATGGCTTTGCGGAATGCGGCTGGCAAGGTGCAATTTGCTTAATCGTGTCCGTCTACTCATTGTGCCAGGGGATGTCCTGCAGTTTTCCCCCCACAATCTATGAGCCCTCGCTCTGCTTTGTCACTGTATGGCATCCTCTCTGCGACTTTCTTTGCTATTTCCTTCCCTACACCGATCTGCCCCCTTTCACGACCCACATCCCAAAGCCACTTTGCAAAGACAACTTTGTTTCTTGCTTATGAGTGCTCTTCTTCATCCATCTCCTTTATCCTTTCTAACGTCTTCATCGTGCGTGCCATGCTTCAGTCTCTGGAGTTGCAGTCTCAGCTCAACTCTTGATAATGCGGTTGTGTGTGTGTGCTGGAAAGCCCCCAACTTATCACCGTACGTGGGCACATTGGAGGTGTGACATTCTTCGCCCACTTAGGGCCTAGGGTGCATTGGGTTCAGATGCTTCTGCAGACAGGTTTGTATAGTCAGTGAATTTTCTGGATTGACAAAGGGTTGTACAATTTTGTAGCCGACGCTGCAATGGTAGCAATTTTGGGCTTGCTATGTTTTCCAGAGTCATGGCTCGAGTCTGAAAAGAGGGGCCCCTCCTGAGCCGCGCCATAGTTACGGCGCTTTGGTGACTCAAGTTGCTGGTGCAACTGTCTACGTTCTTTCACTGTCTGTAGGGCGGAGGTTGCGCTGACATTCCTTTGGGACATTTTGCTGCCACCTGTGTGACTTGTAGTGGAATCGGTGGCTAGTAGTGCCAAGAAAGCAGCATCTCGTCAAAGCAGTGGTGAAGGTCTTGCAGACCGAGATTGAAGAGTCAAAGGCTCAGTGAGCCTGCTTGTCGGTGTTTTGCGGAGGCAGAAGAAACTTTCTCTTAGTACATAAGTGACATGTAGCTACAACAGACTGACTCAAAAAGGTGTTATTGGAAGCTCAGATCTGGAGGGCAGTGAAAGCTTCCACGTGGACATCGAGGATGGTTCTGGCGTCGTTTAGTGAAAGTGACTTTCCTGACGAAGTCACACCTAAGGGCAAAGCAAATCCTTGTCAGCTTCTTAGACTTGCGACTGATTCGACTGCCTTCAAACTACTTAGACTTAGGCCCTTAAAACGGCATAGAACTCCCGGGGCCTAGCCTAGGCATAGGCCTATCCTAGGCCCATGCCTACCCTAGGCATAGGCCTATCCTAGGCCCACGCCTACCCTAGGCATAGGCCTATCCTAGGCCCATGCCTACCCTAGGCATAGGCC